GAAACCAAAGCCGGAATCCTGTTCATGGGTTGTTCAAGGGCAATACGGTGGCGTCGATAGCATAAGAGAGGGCAGTAGACTGTGGAAGATGTGAACCAAACAAGTGCTGCCCAGAACCTATCTAACTCACCACCGCAGTATCCGGCCTTTTCAACCGAATGCAACCGTGTGACGAATGACGCCGGTCCATCATCCCCACGTGTACCAACCAAAGCAGTCCCAAGTACTTCTGGCACCTCCAGGAACCCAGAATGGAACTCAGAATTTGTCGCGTTGGGGTTTGCTGCAGGGCGTGCTGGCTGCAACCCATGCGCACCACGAAATCATTTTCCCTCGACGTATGTGTTTATTCCGATAAGTTGTCTGCTACAAAGGCCGCTACGTTAGTACCGAGCGCACATGCAGTGCCTTTGAAGTGAGCAACTTAAGTATTTGGGAACAGTCATAAAGAACTGTAGCCGGTATGTGATTCAAGCATATGATGCAGATCGTGTATGAAATCGGCCCAGCACGGTGACAGGCGTACGTACGTAGGTGTCCTATTGTACCATAGTTGCAGATTTCGCTTCCAGACGTAGTCGAATGAAATCTATGTTCCTTCTTACTGCTGGAGCATCATATGTTGAGAACCAATGACACGCCTTGGGCCGGATTGATATACACAGCACCCAAGCAAGCCCAATGGTCCATTTTGGGACGAGTTGAGCAGATCTTCTGAATATTGAAGTCTCTGCTCGCCGTACGGCATCCCCAGAATCAAGCATGCCGAATCACTCGCTGCGAATAGCTAGAAGTGTGGTGTCGTCCAATCTATTCGAAGAGAGATGTTTTGCAAATTGAGGCGCATCGGTCGGTCCTCTTGATGCATTCACGCACCACGCGCCTTCGATGAGGTGCCAATTCTCTTCGGCGTATTTCTAACTACGAAGACCTTTAATTACAGTCCCCCGTGGAACACCTGTGAAATATCGGCTCGGAATATTTTCAGCGATTTGCCAGTCCAAGTTTCGTTACAGCGGCCAGAATGGCGGCTTTCGCATTCTAATGCAGAGCGCAAACAATAGGATCGCGAACATAGTAGAATCGTGGAATATCGTAGAAACTGATAGAAATACACACGCAAAAATCTCGTGTGTGAATTCGTCTCAGCGAGGCAGAGTGGTGGGCATTGCTTACGGATCCATAGTTACCCTACAAGGAGGTCTTTCACTTCACGACGAAGTCGGATGAAACAAATGTCGTTTCTGCTGCCGTGATGACCTCGGTGCCGAATCATTCGTTGCGCGTCGTCGTGGAGGGAAAGCCACATTTTCCGTTTATCCTTTTGAAAGAGAAATGGGTAACTGATTTCGGCGTGCTGACCTGCCTGTCCTCTTGATCCACTAACACAGCCTGGACCAGTACCTTCAATCAGGTGTCAATTCTCTTGGCCGTGCTTCAAACTGCGACGTAGAGTTGGACCGGCCAGTCGGAAAGTACGTGCAGGCAAGAACCCCCACTGCTCAGGGATGAAGATGTAAAGGCCAACCACAGAGCAGATTTGGCTGAACGTAGCGGGTGGGGAGGAAGAGCGGGGGCACAGGAGCTTCATTGATTCGTCGACGGCGCGGTGGGAGCTGGAGTCCGCGACCTTGATACCGTAGTAGGTTCTACACCGCACGGGGGCTTTGATTGGCCGTTGTACAGTGGAATCCGCGGATATCAAGGTGGGTCTGGGAACGAGCGGGAGGCGAGCAAGAGGTATACCGCTTGCTGCGCCGGTATATTCAACAGCGAACGACCGTCGACCTTGTTGTGTAGAATCTACAATGTCGTAGATCTGGTAAAAACGAAACACCGACGAACAACACACACGTATCATCGTTAACTCGTGCGTGATATCGGCTCAGTCAGGCATGTAGTTGGAGAGAGTCACGGTTCCACGGCGTACGTGCTCTACCTAGGAGCCCTCGCTTCACGACGATTTCGAATGAAACATATTTCGCTTCCCTTCTATATCGAATGGAAGGGCCGGTCTGCAAAGTTTCACCCGGGTTTGAGTATCACCACGGATACCAATACGGAGAGAAAAGGGGGTAGGAATCAGCGCTGGAAACACGCAAGCCTCGCGCCTCGTTCTATCTCAAAATTTTCCGTTAATTGAGCAGGTGAAAATCGATGACTGCTCCCGCACGCGGGACCAAGTCTCCATACGGTACTCGACCATGCAACTACACCAAACCAAGGTCTACGTCAGGCTACTGCTCACGTGCAGTTAACCCTTCGATCCCCATCGCGCTTCTTCCCCGAAGGTCGCCTCGCTTCCGATGAACTCCCATTCGTCACTCTTGGCGACACGCGAAGCGAATCCTCTACCGCTATTATATTAGTGACGTTGCGGCACATGCGCGTCCAAACAACCGTTTCCCCTTCCATTTCCTCTGAATTACCCGCCAGGAGGTGTCACCACCCGGCGCCAATACCGCAGCCCTGCTGATACTGAACGAATGTTATGCGTTCTGTCGGGATTTTTGCCTAGACTCGGCGACAGAATCTCTTCGCGCACTCAACGCTCTCCTGTCTTGGCGTTGCTGACAGCCCGCCCGCCCTATCGCGGTCTGTGAGGAGTTGGGCGACGTTTCATGACACGATTACTGTACATTTCCACATCAAGAGTGACTGCCCCGCCTCTCGCAAAAGGCGAAACCCTCCGACTGCGGTCTCACGCGACCGCACTCGATCGCTCCCTCTCTCATCCCGATCGACCGTGTGTCCTCTATAAGGCAGCTTCATTCTGTCTGCCTCGCGGTGATTGCGGTGGACGTGCTGTAGCTACATCTGCTCGTGTAAGACAGTGAGACGCGGGTGCCAGGCAGTATCGTTCGCAATAGCCTCGTCCGATTGGGCATTGAAAAACGGACAAGACCTATTTAGACACAACCACATCGCCCATCCTCCTATCCTTCTGCTCGGGATCCTGCATTCCGCGTCTCGTTACATACCCATAGATTCCAAGATACAGGTTAACGAAAATGACACGGATGCCTCGGGGCACGTGGTTCCATTACAACTCTCCGCAATGTGCGATATTAAAAAAGTAACGAAGATGTCTAACTCTCAACGGATACTGAGCCCAGCTGCACCACCGCGAGCTCCCCTGATATTGGGCTACAGTATCTAGCAGAGACGACGCCTATGGAAGTTGCATGCGGAAAAATCGAAAACAATCGACTCCCATACGGTGGTCATCTGAGACGCCTGGGCAGGTCAACGGCGGCTTAGCTATCAACCCCCGAAACGCGATACACAGCTCGATACACTCACGGAAGTGATCAACACCATCGCACGCTATTGAAAAACGAAACCGCCGCAGCCAAGGGTATGGGGCCTCAACCAGCTGTGAAATTTGAGAGGTCGGCATCTGGGACTCATCCTTCGTTCGAACTGTGAACCTTTTGTCACATTTTCTTTTTTTTGCGGCCGACGTCCACGGACACTCAAGGATTTCGGTAAAACAGCTCGGTGTCTCTGAGCAGGCCGCGCGGCAGGCTCTCGACGACGAATGATAACATTCTGGAGGGGCAGCACGGAGGGCGCGGTTCGTGCGGGCATGCGTGAACTCCGACGACGCCACGCGATGATGGATCGAAGACTCTCGTACTAAGGGGTGTGCGGCGTAAAACGTGTTACAGTAGTTGTTTGCCCTTGTTCGGAATGTGCAGAAGGGATGTGATGAGGCGCTGTGAGTGCGATCGTTGGTCGCTCCCTCATCTCGGAACCAATGCCTAACCCGGGCGTCCGCACTATCCTCCGCCCCTACAGTCACACATTTCGATGTACTGCTGTAGGCCGTCAAGGGCATGTTTACACACCCACGTACCCTACGATGCAAGGCGAGACACGAGCTTCTGCACTTGTCCACGCAGTGAGGGGTGCCCCATGTCCAGTCTGGCACTCAACGTTGCACTGGAAACTCTCTGGCGGCTGCGCACACACCTACCCCGCGGTTTTCAACGATACTCAACCGCTGCTCTATTCACCGTGTAAGGCGCGTGGGCAACCCTCTCGCGCCATGTAGAATCCAACCACACTTCACTCTATCCTTGACACCATACCGCTTTGCCCGCCGAACACAAAACATGGAACACATGTCCGAAATCTCTAAGTCTTCGCCCACAGCCTGTGCAGGGCGTCTCCGAACGATGTGTTCGCCCCAACGCTCGTTTTCGGCAAAGGTGCGCGGCAAAGCCAATGTTCTGCCCACCGTACCCACGACACCCGCACAAGTTAGCCATTGCATTCAGGGGCCACCATACGTTGGTGGCGCAAGATACCACACACCCCTGAACGAATACTCCACGACCAACAGGATGCATACATCAAACGATACGTTTGCCGAACGACTTCGACGCGACGATTCCAACGCCGTTATTTTCGGCGCTGCCATGCATTCTGGAACACATGCTGGCCCAAGGTATCAATACTATCGGTAGGGATGCCCAAGGTCACCCTCAAAAAGGCCTGTTCTAAGGTAAAGCTAACGTCCGCACGTACAAGCTTGGCCGCAAACTCGAAAAATCAATATCTAAAGAACTTGTGCACAATTCGGAAGCCCGGTTGGAAACCACCAACACGTGTAATTGCGGCCATTTGTACGCATAGAATAACCCTAGGATCTAACAACCCCAGCCGCAGGCCAATCCAGAGTTCCTCATGTTTTGTTGTTGTTGTTGTTGTTACCCCAGCCGCTGACCAGTCCAGAGTTCCTCATGTTGTTTTGTTTTTGTTGTTGCTGTTGTTTGTTGTTGTTGTTGTTGTTGTTGTTGTTGTCTTCCGTTAAAAACCGTTCCCGTCTCCGCTCAGTACCTCCTAATGTCCGTACTGCTCCAACTGACGCGGACACCTTCCGTGGTCACAACACAACCACAGCACCCCGAAACGTGCTGGCGCTAGCTTCATCCATGCGCTGGGGTTGGTGCACACCGCAAGGTTTCCCAATCGGTCGACGACCAACCTGCAACTCAAGTGGTGCGGCACATGTTGATCTTGTAGCGTCCCTTCTTGGTGACGGTAATGTCCCCGATCTCGACCCGGCCTTTCCCCCTGACGGTCACGATGTCGCCCTCCCTCACCTGGTCGGGGCAAAAGACACAAAGCGCGCAATGTCTAAACTCCGGAGAATGGCTTGACGACACCCCCTCATGGGGTTCCAGATCATGGCCGATAGAAGCATTCTCTGTTTTCGGCCGCCCTGAGGCTGAGGTATTTTCGTTGGTCAGCCTGTAAGCGCGGTCGACACCAATGATGAAAGAAACGGACACGACCGGGAACACGCACACACCCTCACGGGGTCCCAAACATGGCCTTTAGAGTGGAATATCTTCCTGTTTTCAGCAGCACTGAGACTGACGATTTCTCATTGGTCGCCCGGTTAGCGCGGTCGATGCTAATTTGATACACATACACGCACACAGAGAGGTCGATTCTAATGTTTACGAAAAACGCACGGATACACCTGAAGATATCGGGGAGGAAGATAGTCGTGTAGGCAAATATAAAATATTCGCACTTGGGGATAGGGTCAGAGTTTAAGGCGAAGACAGAAGTGTCGGCGAATATTCGCACTCTCTTGGTCGTCGAGGAATCACGCCATTGGGAGTCGCCCCACGGGGAGCGCGTCCACTCGCACAGCAGTCACGGAGCGGTTCAAACAAAAAAGGCGGTAGCAGTAGCCTTTGCATTCGTGTATTATGTAAATATGTCGGATAAAGCATAATATCGGGGAAGTCGGGTTAGGGTTACGGTTAGGGAGTAGGGTTAGGGTTAGGGTTAGGGAATAGGGTTAGGGTTACGGTTAGGGTTAGGGAGTAGGGTTAGCGTTAGGGTTAGGGAATAGGGTTACGGTTAGGGTTAGGGTTAGGGAGTAGGGTTAGGGTTAGGGTTAGGGAATAGGGTATGCGTACAATACCCCTTCCTTCTTCTATTTCGTCGCTAAGCTTGATGTCTCGCGAAGGCGGTCCTGTGGTAGATATTGTGCCAGAACCGGCGCAAAGAATACGGTAAACCGACGGGACGTGCAAGGGGTGGTGGGAGTACAACTTACCACGACTTAGCACCCTCGTGGCGTAAATGCGTTGAAATTATTGTCCCTTGTTACCAGCAGCGAGTAATGTTGGTCAACTCCACAAAGGACGATGCTGTCTGTGACCAGGCACAAGAGACAAAAAAACAAGAAAAATGCACCGTCGTCGAAAATATTGCCCCTTGTTACATACCAGTAGCGAGTAATGTTTGATCGATTCCACAAAGGACGATGCTGTCTGTGACAAGGCACAAAAAAAAATACAAGAATAAAACGTACATTCGTCGTGCCCGAACTGGCAGCCTTCCAGTTGACAAGCACCAACCCGCTCTTGATAGCCGCCGACATCTTGCTGCGGCTCATGCCCATGCCGGCGCTCGCTACGGAGTCCAGGCGGAGGGACGCCTCGACGGTGCTCACCTAGAGGAAGAGGGCGGAATGATCGTGGGGGGGGGAAGGGGGACTCCGTGGATACACGTCTTCCGTTTGTCGCGGGGGTGGGGGGACTCATAGTTGTGCATGCCGTAGTCGTTAGACCAATGACCTTGCATCCCTACAAAGCCGGGACGGAGCACGCCGGGTTCTCACCGGACCAGGTTCTCACATCACCAAGCGCGAAGCGCCGTGAGGTATTCGGCAAGTCGCATGAAGGGTGCGCTGCATCCTGCTAAGGGTGTTCGGCATCTTGTTCTTACTTCCTTGCGTACGGAGGACAGCTGCGTATGGCTTAATTTATTTTCTGGTGCTTTCACTTCCAGAGACAGTTGTATGCGCTGTATAACTGCCACGAGGGTGCTTGACCAATTTTAACACAACGTGGTGCAATTATCCCCCTTTGCGCGGAGTGAGGCCGCACAACATGATCTACTCGCCCACCATTCATGATTACCGCAAAAAGAAACTAGGCAAAAAAAAAGCGGTAACCTGGTTGCTGAGCTCACGAAGTGATCCGCTTGTTTTACAACATCGCTGCCAAGCGACGAAAACCCAACCCCGATGGCAAACACCCGGGGGGGCGACGGAACAATCTTGCCAAAACCTACCACCGCAAACAATCGTTGTATAGGCTTAAACAGACTAAAAACATGCAGCCGGTGATTCTCCCTTTCCTTCAACACCCTGTGGGTATATCTCGAGACATGTGATGAAGAAAAGTACACGTATGAGGCTAACCGGGAAGAAAAGAAAATACGATTACCCTTTTCACCCAGTGTGCCAGGTATGAGTTAATTGTTCCAGTCATGGCTAGAGAGAGAAACAAAAGGAGGAGGCTGCCGCTAGTCTCACGTCCTTCGTCTTTGCCGGCCGGACGGCGAGCTCCTCCAGCGGGATCGGCCGGACCTTAACCTTGACGCTCCTGACGCTGGTGAGGCTCCCGGCCAGGAACTCGGCCATCACGGGGTCGACTAGCACCTGCGCCCCCCGCTCGCCCTGGACGAGGATGTCCCCGATCTTTTAAAGAGGGAGGGGGGGAGAGAGGGAGAGGGTGAGAGAGAGGGCGAGTAGAAATGCGAGAGAGGGGCGACTACGGGGCCGGCCAAGTGTTCGACGACAGGCGAATTCGAGATGGCACTCCGAAATGGCAAAAAAAACAAGGAGAGAGTTGAGTGCCGAGGGGGGACAATAAAGAAGACCAGGTGTTCCAAGACAGGCGATTTCGAGATGGCACGCAGATCTGTTTGAAGGAAAAGTGTCACAACGCGCGAAGGGGCGATTAAGGGATAGACATGTCGGGAAATGGAGATATCGACTAGGTCCTAGCTAAGTTGCAACAACTACCGCCGTCGCCGCCCAGCAGCAGCATTTTTCTGTCTACACCAAGTGGGACGATCCACCAGGAACTGCCACAAGTTAGCTTAAAAAGGTCGATTTGAAAAAAAAAAAAAAAGAACGAAAGGTGCAAAACAACCACACATTCCAAAGAATGAAAACAAATAGAACTGTAGACCTTAACATCAGCACACCCACGTTGTTCCCTGCACTCTCAGGGGAGAGAAGTCGCCGAGCACAGGTGATCAAACTGACCGTTCTATCCGTTCTGAAAACTTCGCCGAAAAATTCTTCCGAAAAATCAACAAAAACAAGCACGCACACCACGGCAAGCAAGAAAAACAAACTTCTTCGCGGACGACAGAAAGAGAGCACACTAAAACGACAAACAAGAAAGAAAGCTCGTCGAGACGGACAAAAAAAAAAAAAAAAAAAAAAAAAGACTCACCCCGTCTCTCGTGACCCCGAGATTGACGATGGCCCCCAAGAAGTCGCGGTGGTCCGCCATGTCGAACAGAAACTGACCCCCGATCTCTAGCGCCACCACCTCGGACTCCAACTCCGACGCCAACACTCCCTCCCTTGAAACGAAGAGGCGTTTTCTTTCCGCCTGGGTTCATGGTTGGCGGGGGGATGGGGCCTCTGGTGGTCAAACGCTCCGTAAAATTAAAAACACGCGTCTTTCTCTCCGCCTTGGTTCATGGTGGGAGGGAGGAGGGAAGGGGGGCTGTGGCCAACACTCCCTCCCTATGAATGAAGACTCGTCTTTCTCGCTGCCTAGGTTCACGGCGGGGGGGGTAGAGAGAGAGAAGGGAGTCGGTGGCCAACCCTCTCGCCCTTGATTTGAAGAGGCGTTTTCTTTCAGCCTGGGGAATTGGTCGGCGGGGGAGTGGGGTCTGCGGTCAAACCTTCCGTAGAATTGCAATAAATGGACGATCTATCTCCGCCTAGGTTCATGGCGGGGGGGGTAGAGAGAGGGAAGGGAGTCGGTGGCCAACCCTCTCGCCCTCGATTTGAAGAGATGTTTTCTTTCAGCCTGGGGTAATGGTCGGCGAGGGAGTGGGGTCTGTGGTCAAACACTCCGTAGAATTACAATAAATGCATGATCTATCTCCGCCTAGGTTCATGGCGGGGTGGGGTAGAGAGAGGGAAGGGGATCTGTGGCCAACACTTCCTATGACTAAAAAAATGTGTCTTTCTCTCCGCCAAGGTTCATGGTGGGCGGGGTTGAGACAGGATAGGGGGTCTGTCGCCAGCTCTCCCACCCTTGAATTGAAGAGGAGTTTCTTGCCGCCTGGGGTAATGGTGGAAGGGGAGGGAAAGGGGGTATTGTGGCCAACACTTCCTGCCTAGGCTCAGTTAGCAGGCATTTTTCTCCGCCTAGGTTCATGGTGGGGTGGGGTAGAGAGAAGGAAGGGGGTCTGTGGCCAACCTTCCCGCCCATAAATTCCAAGAGGCGTTTTCTTTTCGCCTGGGTAATGGTGGAAGGAAGGGAGAGAAGGGGGTCTGTGGCAAACACTCCCTCCATAGATTTACAGAGGCGCTTTCTCTCCACCTAGGTCCATGGTGCAGTGGAGAGGGGGGGGGGGGGGTAGGCGTTCCCATTGTTGTCATGGGAGGAAAGCTGCACAATTTTCCATCCACCCTTTTCGGACGGGAAATGGGGTAGAAAGGCGCATTGGTCGTTCCACTTGTTGAGAGGGACGAGGATCAGTGAGGCCGAGAACAAAAAAAAATAAAGCAAGGTCGAGGACAAAAAAACAGATCGCTTCTGCGGGTACCGGTGTTGTGCTTAGTTTGTGCTGAGAAAGAGGGCCGGGAAGCGGCGGGGAACAGAGCTGGGGGCGTCAACATATGTCGTTTCAACTTGCGGGTGGCTGACGCGGCCATCGAAGCCCGCAGCAGGCCAAGCCGCGTGTAGACCCAACACCCCGCACACAAAAAACTTCACTACCTTAACTGCCTTAACCCGAACCTCAACTCCAACACCCACCAACCCCGGTACCGCCACTAACCTCGCCATCGCCTTGCCTACCTCTCGCAAGGATAAATCTAAGCATTAGTACTGTTTGGGTTGGCTGAATCGTTTTGTCAAATGTCCCCAAATATGCTCGAGCAATTCTCAATTTCAGCTTTTGTCAATTGTGGCAGGAATACTCTTGTTCGTTTCCTCGGGAACGAGGTGTAACGCAGGCCAGCGTTCCAGCGTTGATAACATATCTTGAGGCAGTTGTCCCGAGATATCGCGGTGTACGGGGTTGACGGACACATATGGTCGCGCTATATCGGGACCCGCGCTATTGCGGGAAGGTCCCGGAACAATTGGCTGGCTAGATCGTTATGACAACGAATATTTCCCGCGATACATCGGGAACCGCGCTATTCGGGACAGCGATGTATCAGCACCACTACGGTACCTACCGATGATACCTGGAGAAATCCACGAGGTCCACCGTACCCAGGATTCCGACGACCACCACACCTTTTGGCAATCGAACCTCCCCGAAACGATGGCGATTTCGCCGCATTGTTAACACACACTCCTTTTTTTTTTTTCTTATTATGACACAACGAATCCATCTCTATCTGAGAAAAGAGTCTAAGATAGATTAGCAATGAATCAACCGACAGATCGTCTAGGACACTCCGCTCGCCTCTACACGGGGGGCGGTATCTTGTGTCACCTACGGCTTTGAAAATCGGTCAAGGGCGAGGTGGGTGGTATCTTGTGTCACCTACGTCTTTCAAAATCGGTCAAGAGGGGGGGGTGGTATCTTGTGTCACGTGCGGCACGACCTTCCCACACCAACCTGCTCGTGGCCGCCCCAGGACTGAACCTCCACGTCAAGCAAGGGGTCGAGCAGCTTGGCCATCACGTTCACGTCGGGCGGGGGCAAGAAGCCTGTTGTGTAGGTCGACCTGTGCATTATCCCGGGGTGCGGTACGTGCGTGGAAGGTGACGGGCAGCAGTTGGAGCGCGCGCACGCGGGGGTGTACTCATGTATACGCACGCCTTGCTTGTCGCTAGACGATTGACAATCGCATCCCTATAATGCCGGGACGGAGCGATATGCTGGGATTTCGACGGCCCAGGCTGCGTTTTCTACACGAGCATGAACCACACGCGCGCGCGCGCGCGGGGGGGTGGGGGCAACTGTTGCTTGGCATCGGTATTTTGGGCGTATAATCGAAACACCTGTCTAGGTGAAAACCACTGCTTCATGTATGCACCCCTATTTTTTATTACAGGCAGCATTCTACTGATACGATAGGGGACCATGTGGGGATGCCCCGGTGCCGTTCAGTCATTCGTTCGGGAGTTCGCCATGTGTCCACCTTAAGAAGAAACATATCAATAGAAAAAGAAAATGGTACCACGCATTCTCGCAATGCTGTTCTTGCTCGGCGTTACGTGGCTATCCAGCGCGGTGGGGGTGGGAGTGGTTGGGAAGGAAGACCATTCGGAAGATGTGATCTTCACCCTGCGGGAGCTGTTGCGTACGAAACTATGTAGATCAACGGATTTAGTAAATCGACGGATATATTTTGTGTGTGATGTTATTTTTAGTTTTCCGGGTTTTTAGTGATATTCTTTTGCGTCTGATAATCTCCTGGTTCCAAAATATGATTGTTGATGATCTCCTGATTCCAAAATATGATTATTGATGATCTCCAGATTCCAAAGTATGATTGTTGATGATCTCCTGGTTCCAAAATATGATTTTCCTCTGCAGGTTTCGATAGAAGTGTTCGTAGTTACAGCAGGTCTGCGACCACGGAAGACGTCCGTCAGCTGGACCAGTACGGCTGTCAGAAGGCACTAAGTAGAGATCGGAACGGATTCAAATGTAAAAAGAAAAGCAACAAGAACAAGAGCAAGAACAATAACAGCAACAGTGGCATCAACAACAACGACGTCAACAAAAACAACAACAACAACAACAACAACAACAACAACAACAACAACAACAACAACAACAACAACAACAACAACAACAACAACAACAACAACAACAACAACAACAACAACAACAACAACAACAACAACAACAACAACAACATCAACATCAACATCAAAATGGCATCCGGAAACGAATGGTACTGATGGCAATTTTCGGACTTCCCCGGCTAGGCCATCGACGTCCGGCTCAGCAACACTTGAACACCGGGCCTTTGGATTCGAAGACGTGTCTTACTAATGCCTAATCCGCCAGTTTAGACATCGTGGTGGCTCCAATGTTGTGGACTAGCCCAACCGATAACGAAATAAACAGGGTAGGTACTCATGTAAACGCATGCCGTAGTCGTTAGACCACGGACTTTGCATCCGTACAATGACAGGACGGAGGGCCATGCAGGGTTTTCGCCGGCCCGGGAAACTGGGGGGGGGAGGGGGTCTATCGGAAAGTTCTATGAATTTTCCAGGTTCCAGGGGGTGGGGGGGGGGGGGGGTCCC